TCAAAAGTAATTTATTTAACACATTCTGAACTGTTTTTGTCATCAAAATGTGCAATAATCACTTGGAAACAACCAGATCTGAGGCATGGCTACTCATAAGACAACAATATGTGCTGAAGTCAAATTTGCCACATACAGTTATACTAATTAAATGTTCCACTAACAGTGTAATAACCAACCAAATAAACTATTTAAAGTTACAAAGAGATAGCAGATGTGATGTGATATGTTCTCTTTTTGAATAACTTCCTTCAGACATAAAACTGTAAACTAAGTATAGTGATTGTAAGCAACTTTAAGGTAAATATTCACATTAGCTGTCACATTTCTGCATATTTATTCTAAGCTAAATGGATAAAAACAAATCTTACCTGGATGTAACAAGGAGGTAAATCTTCGGGCTGCAACAGCTCTTCTGCACAACATAGGATTATCATGAGGGTGGAAAACAACAAAAATGTGGAAGACACCCACCCTGAATTCAGGCTCCACCCAATCATATTTCCTCTCTGCATATTCAGACCAGATGTCACATGCAACAGAAACACTAAAACAACAGATATATAGCAAATACAAATAAAAATTGCTTTCTTAAATTACTGGATTCCGACTTATTTTCCATTCCCTCTCCACATTATATCTACTAATGTACAATAAAAACAAGTGATAAAATGTTCTTTATTATTTTTGTTAAAGGAAACTAAAAATCAACTATTTTTTTTTAATAACAGTTGTCTAGACAGAAGCTGAAATTCTAGATATAACTGTCATCACTCTTAAATGCATCATGCCATAGCATAATTCAAATGGCCATATCACATGAGTCTCGCTCACCTGGAAAAAGGCCTAACATTATTCTCTCTGTGTGCTGCCCTTTGTTAAACTTTGTCCCTACTTCCTTCTTCCTTACTGGAGCTCATACCTGCTGTGTTATGCAGCAGAAAATGTAGTGTTACTGTCGGTTGGTTTTGATTTTTGATTTGAGTTAGTTATAAAGCCCTTTGTAACATTGTGTTTTGAAAAGTGTCACATGACAAAATTAATAAGTAAGCCAATTGGGTGCTTGTTTTTTGGCTGCATGTAACAATATGCTTATCATAAAAAGGCACTTCGACCTTACAAGCAGGTGAAAGTTATGACAGGACTTTGACAGTAAATAAAAATGTATCAAAGTAAATCTGTTATTTTTCTATTTATATCTGGGGCGTTGCTTCATGATTAGATTGAGAAGCAGAAATGATTCTTCATTATAAATCGTTGATAGTGGAAAGAACATCAGCTGCAAATGACTAAATGAGATTAGCTTGGAATAGGCGGAAGAGTGGAGAAGTTGATTAATGCTGGTCTGTCAAAACTAAGCCACTAGCTGAACAAAACATGCTTTGTTCATGATTTCATTGGCAACAGTGTGATACAGAAACAAACCATTAATTACATCAAAAATATGTTCCTCTGTTGCGCAGATGTTTTGATCGGACAAAGATCTTTGCATCTACTGCACAAACTGATAGATTAATTACTGCCTGATATCAACACAGATTTTTTTTTCAGATTGAAAAAATAAATAAATAAAGAGATACAGATCTGTTAAATGTACTCTTTCAGCCTGTGTTCTGATACAGCATCAGCTTTTTGTTTGATGCTTGAAGAAATATGAAATTTCCTATTTCATTTTCACGATATGGTTGTAAACACATATCCTTAACAATAACTGTGAATGAAAACCAAACACTATTTCCCTGACAAAAAAAAGTAAAAGAAAAAGCAAAAAGCCACCTTAAATGTAAAAAAATACACTACTAGACATGAACTATTCCAATTGGCACCCACATCGTGGGTCAGTGGTGTCAACAATTCAAGATTTACTTTTGTACAAGACAAAAACGTGGTGAGATGTATCTGTTCCAGGTCTATAAATGAGTTAGATAATGGAGATCATACTGCACCGCATGCCAAATGAACGTACTGCAGTGATGAAGCTTTGTCGCCACCCTTTGTAAAAATGACAATACAACACTTCACTGTGCCAAAAGGAGGAGGTCTGAACAAGCTTCTTTCAGTATGTTCTCTATGCTTTCTCTGAAAGTGAGCCCTCTGGTGACAAACACATGACGAACAACAAGCAGCAGCATTTACTCTTGTAAAGAAAAGGTGCTAAGGGAAGAAAAATATATCATGCATAAAAAAGGACAACACAAAGCCTTTCTTTGAAAAGTATAGCAGAGCACATAGATTCTAACAACAGGTGCATTTCTTTAGAAATCTATTACTTTATGACCTCACCCTTTTGATTTGAACACTTATTTCCCATTTGAAATCCTAAGACTGAATGGTCAATGATCAACCATTCATTATCAGATGCCTCAGATTGGACCTATACTTCAAGACACACACAAAATTGTTCTATGATTACCGAGAGGCCAACAAACAAGGTTATACATAGTTGTATTATTTTTGGTTCAAAATGTATTCATATGTAAATAAGTTGGTTTTGTTTTTTCCCATGAAAAGTTAGGCGAATAAAATATTTTTATTTTGTAATTGGTTATGAAGCATACTTTCCTTTACATTTCCCCTAGTGCTTATTTTTTAAAGCATATCATTCCCTCTACAGCAGAGCAATATAATACTTTTAGTTGGCATGGTAATATGTAAGCAACGGAATAATGTACATTACATTACTGGATTATAATTAGTGAAATAATACAGGACTGTCTCAGAAAATTAGAATATTGTGATAAAGTTCTTTATTTTCTGTAATGCAATTAAAAAAAACAAAAATGTCATACATTCTGGATTCATTACAAATCAACTGAAATATTGCAAGCCTTTTATTATTTTAATATTGCTGATTATGGCATACAGCTTAAGAAAACTCAAATATCCTATCTCTAAATATTAGAATATCATGAAAAAGTATACTAGTAGGGTGTTCAACGAATCACTTGAATCGTCTAATTAACTCGAAACACCTGCAAGGGTTTCCTGAGCCTTGAAAAACACTCAGCTTGGTTCAGTAAACTAAATCACAAGTATGGGGAAGACTGCTGATCTGACTGCTGTCCAGAGGACCGTCATTGACACCCTCCATCAGGAGGGTAAGACACAAAAAGAAATTTCTCAAAGAGCAAGCTGTTCACAGAGTGCAGTTTCAAAGCACATCCACAAAAAGTCTGTTGGAAGGGGGAAATGTGGCAGGAAACGCTGCACAACCAAGAGAGATGACCGCAGCCTTAACAGCATTGTGAAGAAGAGTCGCTTCCAGAATTTGGGGGAGCTTCAAAGACAGTGGACTGAAGCTGGAGTCCAGGTATCAAAAGTCACTGTTCACAGACGTGTCCGGGAAATGGGCTACAATAGCCGTATTCCCATGGTCAAGCCACTTCTGAACTCAAGACAACGGAAGAGGCGTCTGACTTGGGCTAAGGAAAAGAAGCACTGGACAGTTGCACAGTGGTCCAAAGTCCTCTTTTCAGACGAAAGCAAGTTTTGTATTTCATTTGGAAGTCAAGGCGCCAGAGTCTGGAGAAAGGCTGGAGAGGAGCAAAATCCAAGTTGCTTGAAATCCAGTGTGAAGTTCCCACAGTCAGCGATGGTTTGGGGAGCCATGTCAGCTGCTGGTGTTGGTCCACTGTGTTTCATCAAGCCCAGAGTAAATGCAGCTGTGTACCAAGAGATTTTAGAGCACTACATGCTTCCGTCTGCTGAAAAGCTCTATGGAGATGAGGAATTCATTTTCCAGCATGATCTGGCACCTGCCCACAGTGCCAAAACCACCAGTAACTGGTGTACTGACCATGGCATTACTGTCCTCGATTGGCCTGCAAATTCCCCTGACCTGAACCCCATAGAGAATATGTGGGGTATTGTGAAGAAGAAGCTGAAAGACACCAGACCCAACAATGCTAATGAGCTAAAGGCCGCTATTGAAGCACCCTGGGCATCCATAACACCTCAGCAATGCCACAGGTTGATTGCCTCCATGCCACGCCGCATTGATGCAGTAATCCGTGCAAAAGGATTCCCAACCAAGTACTGAGTGCATTAATGGACATTTTCAAATGTTTGATTGTGTTTTGCGGTTATAAATCTTTTTTTTTTACTTGGTCTGAGGAACTATTCTAATTTTTTGAGATAGGATTTTTGAGTTTTCTTAAGCTGTATGCCATAATCAGCAATATTAAAATAATAAAAGGCTTGCAATATTTCAGTTGATTTGTAATGAATCCAGAATGTATGACATTTTTGTTTTTTTAATTGCATTACAGAAAATAAAGAACTTTATCACAATATTCTAATTTTCTGAGACAGTCCTGTATGTTCACATCAAATGCTGCAGCTGCTAAAGGTAAACTTGGACCCCCCTGTGGAAAAAGGTATCATAATACCAATGGTGATAGTGCTAAAACTGTGCTTTAACTTTAGCTGAACTTGTTTTCATAAATGTAATTGATTAAAATTGTAATTAAGTTACTAACACATATTCTGTTAATGAAAAAATGGTGTGCTATGATTTTACTGAACACAAATGTTGAAATCTTTAACACTTTTTGTCCCGCATTAAAAGTGTCCCTCTGATCAAATAACTGGTACAATTGGTCAACAACCGCCGCTGGAAATATCACATAAGGTTTGAGTGAACTTTGTCCCCTTTATAAATGGCTGAGTGTTTAAAGAGGACCACCGATTAGAGGCCATTCACGTGTTAATATCCTCGAGTAAACCAACGTTGATCTAAAGATAAGTGTCCCGCGCGCGGGCACTACTGGTCACCTTTCAGCTCAGTGTCAGCGCGCGCACGCAGAGATCACTCGCGCGGCTTGTTATTAACGTTAATAACGTTATCTCTCGCGTCACTCGTGTCCCCATCGCAGCCGCTGCTGCGCAGGAGGAGGAGGACGGGAGGTCCAGGTGCACCGCTGCTGAGATTGAAAGACAGGGGAAGTTTTTTTTAACCTAAAAGAGATGAACCGTTAACTGACGACCTGATTTGTCGACAAGTGTTCATCCTCCAAACAAAGATCGCCATCGTTTTTTTGTTTTTGATCGGTGATGGGATTCCTGCAGGAGCGACCTGCCGCCTAACGTTAACCCTAAGGTAAGAAGCCTAACGACTGGTAACTAACTGAAGATAGTGGGGGCAAACAGGGTGGGATGCTGGAGGGGCTCAGTCCGCTTGTGGGTGCTCTGTTTCGGGGAGTTTGTGTGGGCGAAAGTTAAGTACAACGGTTCGTGAGTGAGAAACAGTAATATGGATGTCAGTTGTAGTAAAACACTCGGCCAAGTGTCCTCTGGGTCTCGTGCTGGAGCAGCTAGCGACAAGTCTCCCCCCCATCACCATTATCGGGCTATTATTACTATCTTTACTGCGGTTTGCCACAGCTGTGAACAGGCTAGCAGTGGACATTGTCAACGCACGCAAACTTGTGGTAAGTGAGTGCAAATGGGACAGACAACAAGGCTGCCATTGTACCAGATCAGCGGCGGATTAACGGAATTCCTTTTCTCTGCACTGTCTCAATGGCCTCCAGTCTCTCTTTCTCTCCCTCTCTTTGCCTGCTTCTGTGGAAATAATAACATCTTGATTTCGAGCTTCTTCCACCTCTGGCACTTGTTAGTAAGAGTAAAACACCTCTCGGCCAGCAGTCACTAAACCAGAGATATCCAATTGATGCATTGTGAAACATGTGGATGGGTCAGAGCTGGCCAGTAGATTGTTGTAGTTATTGTTGTCAGAGCTGGTAGATTAGGTGATAAGTAAACTAGAGAGCTGCAACCAACAGATATGTTCGTTATTACTTAGTGATTTAGCCTATATAAAAGTCTGAAAATAATGGGAATACCTGCCAGAATTCCCCAGAGCCTTAGGTGCCATTTTTACTTGCTTAGTCTGTCCAACAGTATGGAGAAAAGGCATTCATTTACAATGGCATAACAGCAAAAGGGTAATAATGCTTGCTTGATAAGTGTCTGCTAAAATGAACCAACTATTAATATTGTTGGGAGATTAGGTTTTTATTAATCAAGTAATTGTTTCTTAGTAAACAGCAGTGCAAGGTGATGCCATTAGTCTTTAAACCCTGGATGTATGTAGTTAATGAGCTTGAGTGGGGTGAATATTATGTGTCAACTAGGTCTTCAGGGGGTTTGTCTGTCCTGCTGTTGTCTCATCATGACTGATCATCAATGTTAGCACTGAGGGATCCCCTCCCACAGGCAATTGGACATGTTAGAGGTTGTAGCTCTTTTATGTTCTAGCACTGAAAGACAATAAACAAACACAGATTGTTCTATTTCTTACTCCTCCACTCCTCCCACCCTTCTTCTATACACTTGCACATCATGCACAACATGCACCGTCCCCAGCTCTCCCCCCTTCCCCCCGTGTATGTGGCCAACCAACATGTGGGGAGGTAATCCCAGCTATTAGGGTAATCTCCTCAGCATGACGATCAATAGGGGAGGGTGTGCGACGACTACCAGACAAGAGTAGCAGGGGGACCAAATTTGTGGTAAAGAAAAATGATTTAATCATCTAGATTAGGTCAGGAGACTGGGGTCTGGTCAGGGGCTTGTTGCTGGGAGGGGGAGGGGTGCAGACAGGAAGATGTGAGGGGTAAACCCATCTCCACTTTGGGCAGCTCCCTTGTGTGACAATGGGATGAGACATTTTGTTCTCCTTAATCTGGAGTAAATGGAAACAACAAAAGGACAGCTTCTAATAGACAGTGCCAAACCCATTATGGGACTACTACAAATATTGCACAAGGACAGATTAGCCTATAGAAAACCCAAATCCCACTGCTTGGCTTTGTTAACAGCATTTATTACAACAACAAAAAATGCCTCAAGGAATTGAGCAGATGACCGAGCCCAATACATTACATTTTGGGTCTTTTAGCTCCTGTGTGGTACCTCAAGCAGAGGACATTGTAAAGAACCCCAGGAGATGTGGCCAATCACAACAGGTCAAAGTCATTATGCTGTTGTTCCTGTGAATGCAGTGTGAGATCGTTAAAACACAGCATGTGCCGGTGGTTCACATCCAAAATCTCCTGTATACCAACTCCTTTTTTTCTCACCGTTTGAAAGAGTTAGACATGCCAGTAAATAGCAGCACTTATCAACACAATGTACATCATGATTTTTATCTTAAAATAGAAAGTTAAAAAATAAAAGATGTGCATGTTGAGTACTTTATTTATAGTGTCTCAAGCAGTAAGAATAACATGAAAGGATAACTGTCTTCACACAGTCTGCACACTATGTTATCCTGCTTCTAAAAATGGTGTGTGTGTGTGTGTGTGTGTGTGTGTGTGTGTGTGTGTGTGTGTGTGTGTGCACCGTTTTCCATTGTGATTGAACATACCACTGTATTATGTGTATGAGTGTGTGTCTCTTTCTGAAGAGCTGCCTCAGGTTAAAGAGCACACTCACCTCCATGATGCCTCTTCAGTTCTTCTTCACTGTATGAATTGCCAATACATCTTGTGTGTGTATGCACATGTAATGTACGTGTGTGTGTGTGTGTGTGTGTGTGTGTGTGTGTGTGTGTGTGTGTGTGTGTGTGTGTGTGTGTGTGTGTGTGTGTGTGTGTGTGTGTGTGTGTGCGCACCGTCTTGCTGAGTGTGCATCCTCTCTTCTGATGTTGTAACAGCAGAGTTTACAGATGGACCACATATTGGATTCAGTGCAATGTGAACATATGTTACCTGTCTCTCCCATGTTGTCTTTGTCTGTATGGGGTGTGTTGTTTAAGCTACCTGGAACAAGGGGAGTCAAACTTATTAAACAACCAAAGCTGACTTAGCAGATGGGAATGTAAACACTCAAAAATATATATTTAAAACATCAAAAAGGGAATTACTTAAGTGCTGTATAATGCCATGAGAATAAATGTGTTTAATGACAGCCACCTTGTTCTCAGTTTAGATATGTCAACTTGGGCAATAGAGATGTTTTTGTTCTACCTTGTGGCAAATAAGAATCATCAAATTAATGTCTAACAAAATAACAGGTTGTAAATGTGTTAACTCCTTCTGTACTACCACTACTATTGTTATTTCAAATACTTGGCTAATTGTTTTTATGAAGATCATGGTAGTCCAATTAGCCTCAAATAATTTATCAGGTAAATTAAGGATTTCTGATTCTGTTATTGCATTAGAACAATCCAGTGCAGCGTTCCTCTTTAAGAGTAGTATTGAAAGGATTTTTTAATGAATCAGAAAGGTTCCTGAATATAAAAAAAGGACTTGCCCTTTAAGTCTCCAGTGGAGGAACTAGAGTGCAAACACTGGCAAAATGTCCAGATGGAAGATGGGAGGGATGAGTAAGGCGTTCACAGATCCCTTCTGTTTGGCCCCATTGAGACAGAGGGAGACGAGATTGGATGGGTCTGAGGGAGTCAGGTTACTTATCGGCCCATTCTACTCCAAAGGAGCGGTGGTGTAAAAGATGCAATACCCCCTATGGGAAACCTAATCCAGACCCTGCTGCCAGCTGTCATTCTTTTGCTCAAGGGTAAATCGCAGGTATCGCCTTACCCTTCAATCCTTACCTTAATCATAGCAGGAAACAGGAAATGACACACGTGGTTCTGTACTGCACCTCACATCTTTTATGTCATTTGAGAATGTTGATCTTAAAAAGATCTGCATATCACAAAAGAGAAAATCCCAGTCCATTTCAAAAGTGCCGGCTGCAGTAACGAGATTTTGCTGTTTTTATTTAAAAAACCTCCAGCCTATCGTTACGTTTTGGACTTTGACCGAAATCACTGATGGATTATGTAAACACTCAAATCAATGACCACAACATGTCTAATGTTTTGTAGTCCAAACAATATACTGAAACATTTAGATAACATTTGCAGAATAATAGAAAATACAAAGAATTATTTGGCGAAGCTTTATTCATCATCATCAAAAATGTGTAAGAATTGACAAGTCTCTTCGTAAACCAAAATAAAGGGCATGACTCAAACTGAAGATGTCATCAGGGTGTTAATCTTTAATTTGCTCTTCTGAGAATAAATCAAGTGTGTCTCTCATTGTCCTGTTCAAACCACAAGAGCACGATTGTTTATTACTCTAATCTTACTTTTCTCTGAAGAACATTGTGTTTCTATTTGAAGTTTTCTGTGTCAGGCTTTGGAGGAGGGCACTGTACCATTTAATCTGTGTTAATCTGTTATGTTTTCTTTTGCGTTGGCAGCATGATCTATACTTAAGTGCTTATTGAAATGAATTGCAGTGTTAATAACCGAACCTAACAGAGATATTAGATAGAACCAAGGATGAAAGAAGAAATGATCAAGTGAAAGATAGGAAGTGATCGAGAAACATAAAGGGAGACATTCAGAGCGAGTCTGAGCTGACCTTGCCATGATAATCTAATCCCTGTCGAGAGTGCTTTTTTTAGAGAGCAAGTTAATGCCAGCAGATTACACTCCAGTGTCTCCCACACTAGCCAATCCACACTGAAAAGAGAGTAGGCCCATAGTGGATTCTCATAGCAGATAAATTGACATCAATAATAGAAACAGAACATTTAAAGAGCCTTCCTAAAACGTCCCCAGGAATCTCTTCATCTTTTCCTCTCTGCTTTCAGTCTCATTGTTCAGTTTGATGTCTGCATTTGGGCCAGCATGACATATCTAGTGTATTTTTTAAGAGTAACTATTCAAATGTCCACAACAGGTAAAATCTCTGCTCAGAATCTCTCATCTCTTTGTCAACCTCCTTCCCTGTGTGTGCTTAATAGCACTAAGGGGCATCCATGATAAAAGGCCACTCATTGAGCAGCTCATCTCATGCTATGAAGAGTAATCCCTGTATATGTTGTGTAACCGAGTGCTGAGTTGGACAAGGAGGGGGATGGGTACCGATCTGCGCAAGTTTGTCCGTGCTAGTGACTGTTGAGCTCATGGATATCTAATCTGTTAGGTACATTAGGCTGTTTGCACACACTAACGTGTTGATTCAGACAATTTACTCATTCGGGGAACTTTGTCGGTCTCGAATGTCTAAATTAATCGTTGGCTGTGCTGAGGATTATTTGCAAGTGTCAAATTGTATTGTGCTCATCACACTGTCAACATGTACAACACAGAACATTGTGTCTTACATTAGATAAATAATGTTTATCCTGTGATGCCTTCACAGTGTGGTCATAGATGTTATTTTTCTGAACCTAAAAAGAAGCTAGTTTGTATACAGACTTGAATTTTGAGCATGCTAACGTGTGGTTGATAGTTATTAAACATGTCATCTGCACCCGGGCATGTGTTTCGACTCCCCTACATCTGGAAGGAGACATATTCAATTGCATAAGCAGTAAGTCAGCAGAGATTACTTTTCTGCCTACTTGCTCTTCAAGACAAGTAAAACGTTAAGAAACATTGTTCTCCTTCGCATGAGACTTACTTTGTTCAGGTGTTCAATATGGCTGACTGTTGGGTCTTTTACTTTATTTTTAGGAATGGACCTGCGTGTCTTAAACATCCAATGCACTTTTTTGAAGGTTGCCAGGTGTTATTGGTCCTTTGTTTACAGTATAGTTTAATTTGCAAACTAGAAGTCGACAATTGCAATGACAGCTGTTTCAGAAAAGTGAACCTATACATTGTAATGGTAACATGATCCACTAGAATATAGCTTCTTCAGCAGTGAGTTTGCCTTTAGTGTGCAATATCTATTTTTGGGTGCACACCGTATAGGAACATGACTTTGTTTTTGTAATTGAATCTTGTACACGATCACGTGCAAACAGCAGATATTTGTTTGAGTTTTAGGAAAGCTAAAAGGACTTAAAGATAAAGGGAGAAACATCTCCCTCTCTGTGACAATTGTTCATCCTCTTGATAAGTCAACATTTATAACAAAGAAACAATCTCAGTTGTGTAATAATTGTGTTTTTATCCTTAGTTGTGATTGCACTTGATGAAAAACGACAGGATTATTGGACACAAAACGGTAGATGCGAGCTGAGGCTTAGCGAGTAACTATGGCTTTGAACACTAGCATAAGGGCAGTCACATGCTATCTCCAGTCAGGGGTGTGTTGGCACAGGCTTGCTGGTTGTAGAGAATATTTGGATGACTTCAGCACACACACACAAACAGAAACACACATAAACATGCATGCACAGTCATGGGGTTCACACATACCTGCTCCTACCAGTCTATAGTTGCCCAGATTTAGCAGATATCGGCAATTAGTGGACCATTCTTACAAAAATAAGGTATTTGAGGCATTTTGGTTTGCAGCAAAGTAAATTCAGGGAAAAGGCTATTTTCAGATCCTGGCAGGAAATGACACCCACAGTTTTAGTGCAACAACCAGGCAAACAGGCAGTGCACACACAAGCGACACACTGACAGTGGATATTTTCACACACACACACACACACACACACACACACACACACACACACACACACACACACACACACACACAGGCTCTCAGCATCAGTGCCCTGACCATAGGGAGTTTGTGCTGAGCTGGTCGGGACGTCAGGATGAATCAATGCGAGGACAGCTGACTGGACATGCCTATTCATCTGCCAAAGAAAAGAGAGAGAAAAAGGGAGCGAGGGATTCTAAAAGAAATCAGTTAAGCCCCTGGAGCAACATGTTGGCTATCTGCATTACTTAACAGATCCTCCAAAGGGCTGTTAGTGGTTCTGCGATGAAAGCAGTAAAGGTAGAAAGCAGAGTGATTTGTACAGAGAGGGGAGGGGGAAATGAAAATAGGCCGGTTCCAATGATTCTATAAGATTGATTTTTGTTGTTTGAAAGGCAGTTAACAAATTCATGTGAAACACAAACTCTACATAATTGCATTTTCTTTGAGCAAAAGTAGGATTCTGCAGATGAAAAATAAGTAGCACACACTAAGCATGTAGGCTGCTTTGACAAAGGCATAAGCTCATACTGTAGAGGCGGCTAACTCCACACTGATGGCCCGTTTATTCCCATCTGTTGCCCTCAGCTCTCTGACTTCATCCCCATTGTGGTACCTCATTACATTCGCCTTAACCTTAACCCCTTAATTGCCACCCTCCAGTTTTCTTTGCACGTCCTCCCCCTCTTGGAGACAGTGTGCCACATTGCCCGTGTACTAATCTGATGGCGTCTGCCTACAAAACACCTGCCATGTTCGTAAAAACCTCCTAAACTCCTCCCATACTCCCGATACAACACCCATTCCAGCGTGAGCGGATCAGCACACATGACCGCAGGCAGGCAGGCAGGCATGCATGCAGACAGATGCGACCGTGGTTGCACATACAGATAATTAGACAGACAACCTCATCCCCGGAAAATCATGACCTGAGTCTCCATCTCTTTGGCCATTATGCGTTATGTGCACCTAGTTTTTCCCCTTCACACTCAAAGACTGACAAGACAAACAAGAGTAGCCTTTTGTCCTGCCTCTTTGCCTAGACAAGAATTTGAAGACAGTGATGTGCAGGCCCAGGCCTCTTTGCTTTAACAATAACTCTCTCGACCCCCCAATGAGGGGTGGAGGGCCAGACATGAGGCGATGTGACAGTTCTGGTGCGGCAGACACAATAGCAGGTTTTTGTTGCTGGCTATATGCCACCAAGTCCCTTTTTTCACTATTAACAACCAACCTAATAGTCATGTTTGCAGAAGAACCACGTTTAACCACATCAGACGCTGCCTGGGCCATGTACTCGTTTTTCAGACCAACAGACGTGCTGTTCCAGTACCATTTTGTTCTGGTTTATCAGATGTCTCAGTGCTATTAGTGGCTTAAACATGAAGGAATCTTCCTGGTTAAAATACAATGTTAGAGAAGAACAATAGGATATACAGATAAAGGCACATTGTCATGAGCAAGTCACAATTAGTGCTCACATAAAGTGTATTTAGTCATTAAACACAGAATTATCTAGGGAAATACCTTGTTACCTAGCTAAAGTCTTGTGTACGCACTAACTCAAATCAGAGCTGCATGTTCCTGTATGTGAGCTTCTAAAATGAAGTTTGTTGATAATGGATTATTGATCGTGAATTAGAGTGGACTGTGCCCTCAGGGTTCATCCTGGTTGGCCAGGAATGAATACATCTCTTCATGCTTCACGTCACACACTCAATTTAGGCATAGGAAACCAAAGGACCGACACACACGCATGTTGAGACACTGACCCGCGCTCTAATATGCAGAGACAGGCGTCGCTCATCCACTGAGGGACAAAGGTTGTTCTAAAATCAGTCTGATGCAAATTGCCTCAGTGGCCTCTCTCTCAGTTCACACATACTGAGTGAAACTACCTTAACATATAGTGTCTTTCATTGTTAAACCAGTGTCTCTTTCCATCTCTGTGCACCTGAGCAGAGGAAAACTACTAATTATTTAGTTTGTCAGAACATTTTTACCAATCTTCCGGCAGTCATTTGATTTGGATAACTGCATTTTGTGTTTAATGCCAAATGATTACAATCGAAAGATTTAAATATTACACTCATTTTTGACCTACAAAACTATTTCTGGAATAACTTAACATTTTAATCCATCCTTAACTCCTTAAGTCTGTGTTGCATTCAGGGTTTATGGTTGAACATTTCCTTTTAATTGATTTTCTGTATTTTTCTGTATGATGCATTTAAATGTAAGCGCTAAACACAACTGAACAGATTCTTTGTAATGTGGTTATACCTAGCCCAAGAAAAGTGGATAAAAGTACGTCTTATTTCTTCTTATAACTTCTCAGAAATAAAAATTAGTTTTAGTAATTTAATTTCAAGCAATTAGATTGTCCATGTAATTGTCCACTTCTCTTTAAAATAATAATATATAAACACATTGTATATGTTGATAACATTTGACTAACCTTTTCAATGTCATGTGTACATTTTGATCTTAAGTGCAATTGCCTAGTTTAAACCTAATATAAATATGTTTTTCCTTTTTTCTTAGGCAAACTGCCATAACAGTATGCAACTTGGAAAAGAACAGCTCTTCAAAAATCAGGATGGACACTAAAGCTGAGATGCCTATTCTGAGAACTCACTAACATTTGGAAGATAAACTTTGAATAGTTAGAGGATTTTATTACACAGCTGTTTTTTTTGACATATGGATACTCCAGGAAAAGTAATGGAGACAGAAGAAAGGGAGGATGTTTCACAAAAACCCAAAGCGAATAAAAAGGCAAAGACGGAGGAGGATGTGCCCTCTGGCCACACCTGTGGGGTGTGTGGACGCAGCTTTCCTCTTCTCAGCTCTCTGTCGCAGCACATGAGAAGACACACACGGGAGAAGCCGTACAAGTGTCCCTACTGTGAGCACAAGACGGCTCAGAAGGGCAGCCTGAAGGCCCACATTCGAAGCCATAAACTTGGCCTGTTCAGCCATAAACTCACTGTTGAAAAAGAGGGGGATGGAGATCAGGAAGTGAAAGCCGAGACACCCGATCCTCCTGAGATTATCAGCACATCAGACAAAGCTCCCAATGTCAATGGGAAAGTAAAGAAGAAAGGAACCAAGAAAAAAGTAAAGGCTAAGACTGGCGTTGAGGTCGGTGATGGGGATGATGACGGGTCCCGTACCTGCACCATCTGTGGCCAGACCTTCCCTCAGATACTCCTCCTCAAATCCCACATGAAAAGGCACCGCAGCGCTCAGGATCACGGTTGCCGGATTTGTGGACGCCGTTTCCGCCAAGCATGGTTCCTCCAAAGTCACATGCGCATTCACCGGGTCAAAGACCAGCTAAGTGGCGGGAAAAGTAACGAGCTGCCTGCCACCATCAATGGAGTTCCTCAGGACCTAGCATCGCTGACGAATGAAGAGTGCCTCTATGAGCTCTGTGCAGGCTGTGGTAACTTCTTCGTTGACCGCAAGACATTAAGAATACATGAAAAGCTACATAAGCCCAACCACAACCGCTCCCAGACACAAAATCCTCCACAGGAAGAAGTTGAAACCTCTGAGCCGGACACCGCTAAGAGGCATTTTATGGAAAGCCTGAACCTCACATGTGCAGGACCAAAGGAAACGTCTGAGGAAAAGAGCCTGGGCAGTCGACTTCCTGAGCTGGATCCAGTTTGTAGTTACCAAGCGTGGCAGTTGGCCACAAGGGGACGACTAGTGGAGTCCACGGATAAATCTCTGGGATGGCAGGAGAGGCTTGCAGCTGCTGAGGTGGCATATGACACAGAAAAAGGAGAGTATGTACCACGGAAACAAGAGAAGAAGAGGAAGCAAATCGACAACTCCAGCACCAACACGAAGAAGATAAAGGGTGAGACAGGCCTTGATCACACGCCAAACAGCTTGGCTCACACTAAAGGTGGTGACAAGAGGATTTTGCAGAAAGACCGTATTCTGTTGAACGGACTGGGTCACGCGTTTTACGAGGCGCTGCAGACTAAGAAAGTAAAAGATGTTCACCTCACACATAAACAGACCAACAGCACCAGGAGCCAAGACCATGAGGGTAAGCCATGTACACAACACTGCAGTGTGCAACAAGACAGCTGTTCAATATCCTTGAAAATGGTAATCAATCACACGGCCAGTTAGTGCTGAGGGCAGTTGCTTTGTATTGAATGTTGCTCCCTCTTTGTTTAAATTAAGTTATCAAAGGTTATGTTTGTGGACATGCAGATAAAGCTAACACTAGGGGTGTACATAACCTGCCATGTGGAATCCATGTTATGTTGTGCTGTGGCAAAGGGGGACACCTAGTGAATTTATTATTGAATTACAGCAATTGCATTTTTTCTACAAAAGGTTTTTGCAAATCCACACCCATTATGTTTCCTCACCTAAACTTGTGAGGGTTATTTAAGAGAAGGAATATGTTTCATTCAAAAGTGTCTTAATGCAAAAGGGAACATTAGGTTGGCTATAATTCATGAAAACACAACAATATGATGTAACACTCGAAACAGCTGTACTGAGAGAGCAGGGGCCTTTTTCACAAGAGAAACCCTTTAAACTTGGAGACTACAAATCTGTCTCTTTAAAACTGATGAAGAAAACGTTGTTGTGGTTGTAGAGAATAAAAACTCTGCATTTGCATCAGGACACACATGTTACACTAGCCTATTTCTAAGTGGAAAAAAACACATCTGCTTTTTTTAAATTATATTTAAAACTGCTACTTAGACGGAAGAGTCCCTTAGCTGTTGCCCAACGTGTAGCACAAGATAATATAATATATTTAGCTAACAATCGCCCAGAGTGTTAGTGAAATTAACTTAATAATCTTTAAAGAATGTAACATATTCATTCCTTCATAAGACAACACAGACGTCTACATATAAAGTGCCACCACAATGTAGAGCCAACATCAGTGTCAGCATTGAAACAAAGATTTATACTTACAGAGGTTTATTCTATCATGTAACTTAGTAGGCTTTCTATGGTCTGTCCTTAAGCAAGTTCAACTCTAATGGCTTTCTACTTTTGACAGTGCTTTTCTTGTTAACTAAATAGCTGCTAGACTCCATGTTGTATACATACTGTCACACTTCATTTCTACTTATGTCCTTTACATTGTTTCCTCTACTCTCTCCTACAGATAATAAGACGTACTTCTGCGAGCACTGTGATTTCCACACTGCCGACACCTCACTTCTCAGGTCTCACGTGCACATGCAGCACCAGGACTTCCCGGGTCCCTACAGCAAACACAGCACCATTTTGGACAACATTACCCAGAGTGGTTCCAAAGCCTCAAGATACATGGACTACCTCAGAAACAGGAGTGTGCTGCTCAGTCAGCCATACTGGAATCCTTACACATGTCCGCCCGCCCCGTTGTCAGCAGAGTCCAATATTAAAACAGAAAAGTCAAACAGTACTAAAGTCAAAGGAAAGGGGAATGCCTCTAATGATGCTGGAAGTCTCCTTAATCTGTCTTCATTACCCATAAGTGAAGGGGATGGCATCGTAGATTATCCGATAAAGACGGAGGGCCTTGTGAGACATCAGTGCCCGTACTGCTCCCACACCACCAATTACCCAGAAGTCCTGTGGATCCACCAGCGAGTCGCACACAGGGTGGATAACAGCAGCTCCATGGCACCCAAGTGGGCTCCCTGCAGTAACATCCCCAAGAGTTTGAAGACAGGCACTTCCCAGTGGAGACGCACAGGGGCTCCACCGTTCCTCGAAGGCAAGGACTGTCCTGCTTTACCTGCTCCGAGAACTCAGCGCACACAAGCTCCAGGTTTGACAGCCAATAGCAGCAGCAGTAGCAGCAGCAAGCACTCAGCACCCAAAACCCAATCAGGCGTCCCAAAGTCCAAGCATCAGTCTAAGGACTCTGCAAATGGGACACAGCCTAGTGGGAGGGCAGGACTCTTACCTCAAAAGAAGTCAGGTGAACATAAGCGGGCAGAGAAGGGGGGAAGTAAGAGCTCCAGCAGCCAAGCTACTTCCTCTAGCAGCACTGGAAAGAGCGCCCCAAGTGTCCATCCGACCAGCAGCCCCAAACACAGAAGCCACAGAGCAGCAGTGGAAGGAAACTTCCCACAGGAGGGTCTGGGTTTCATGTTGGCCAGAAATCATGGCGGGAATTCATCCACTGCAGAAAGACCCCTTCCTCGCAGGCAGTCATGTGACTCGTCTTCAGGTCCAAAGGGTCCTGATCTGTGGGCTGCCATGAACATGTGGGGTAACAAAGCTTATATAGAACCTCTCCGTTATGCTCAGGTAAAGAATGAATCAACAGGGGAAAGGCCAATGGACATTGATATTTTGAGTCTCCTGAAAAACTACAGTCCCCACGAACTGGCTGCTCTCTACCAGAACTGGGGGTTTGTTGACCCCAGGATTGATCCACAAGGTAAGAGAAGCCATGTTTTGTTTTTAATTTACTGTAAATAGGCAAATGAATACCTGAATATATATATTTATCAAGCTGTAAAGAGACATTACCGGGCTTTTTATGTTTACATACTCTTCTATACTTCTATTTTTTAAAGCAATGTTGCAGTTAAATGGGAATTATGGAAAAGAAGTCCACTCCGCATCTGAAGCTCCCAAACAAGTAAGTTGTCTTTGCAGCGGCCACTGATAATGGAGTTTTGAAAGAAATTGTTTCCTGGTCTTAGACTATAAATAAGCAGATAAGCTATCTTTATTGTTGCGATATCTTCTTAAAAGTCTAACCTGCCAATTTTTCTAACTGATTGGCAGCATACACCACATTTTATTTTTACATTTAACCCAAAAACCTTTTTTAATTCTTCATAGAATTTTATTTTGAGTGTTCATAATAAAGCATTGACTTAAAAAAAGAAAACACACACACTTAGATGTTTTAAAGTAATTAGTCCTTCTCTCTCTAACAAGTATGTACAGAGAAGCCTCACCCAGTGTGTGTGCCAGTTGTCGGCCGCTCGTCTGAGTCTGAATACACTCCGTCACTTCCAGGCACACGTGTGGCGCTTGCGTGGTTGTCAACTTCCCCAACCTGGCTGTCTCTTCTTGCTCAGTTCCATAAGAGAGGCTGACAGGGATGAGGCAACAAATAAAAAATAAAAATGTTGTCCCCCTCAGGATGAAACTCACCCAGCATCTCCATATGTTGTGTCATCAGCCTGTCCCTCAGGCCCACCCTGATGCTACCTACAACCATTCTTACTCTCCTCTTCTCCCTAGAGTACAATGTGGGCAACTTATAAACATCAGAGATGGCCGGTAGCTCACTGTTCAGGGTTGAGGAATTACAAATCAGATGATTTAATATGGATAACACTATGAGGGCAGTATTATAACTAAAAGGAATGAGATACCGTTTTATTTATTTAGTTTCTTTAAGAAATTGTGCATATTTCACAACATGCAGCTGAAATAACTCAAAGTTACGAGAGACTGTTTTATTTATTTCGTTTTTTTAGATTTCTTTGCGAAGACTTCACCTTGTTCATTATTGTGCATATTCCACAACATGCAGCTTCACATCACTGACACCTCTTAGGTCAACCAATACAGGAGCTACCGCATGAGATTTAGCATGGTGGGACATGGCCTGCATTCAACCACACCATATCAGATTTTATTATCAAGTGTAGAGTTGTACCAAACTGGTTATTTATGCGGTATTTTGTAAATGATATTTAGACTAAATGGACAAAAAAAACAATGGAACTCACCATATATGATGAGTTATTATATATAGAAGTTGTTTAATTGAGTGGGTTGTCATCATTCTTTTTACACTGAATAAAACAGTTAGCCAGTGTTGCAGATCTTAAAAGACCGCTATTGATTGTGATTTTGTCATCGTAAATGGGATTTTTTAAAGCATTTTAAGCATTCCTTTTTAAGAACATTACTTTTAATATGTTGTGAAAGTAGAAATCAAGAGTGTAAACCTAAACCTGCTGGATATACATTTTTAAGAAATAAAAATCCTTATAACTATCAATATAAGGAATTGATCTAAACTGATAGCTTTTCTTGAAAATACATGCAGTTGCTTTTGGTTATGTACTGCTAGTTCATTTATTGAATAGGCTGCATATACATTATTTACACACACAGCTTCTCAGTGTTGTTAGATACAATCTTACCGGTGTGTCTCCCATTTGTCTCCCTGCAGGTGAACAGCCGCTCCACTTCCTCCTCAGGGTCTCTCCATAAAGGAACGTGAGGATCCATCGTGTTCCCGTCGGCTCCCAGCCCGCACGATGCTGCTGAACAAAGAGGCCTGCTGTTTTTAGAGGAACCAGCCATAACTCCGAAAAGGACCGAGGCACTGGATAATGCACAATATATGCAAAACATTGAAGTGGACTATCATTCTGTAATACGGTTCTTTAATTTGAAGTGTTACCCATGTTTCTTTTCTTTGTTAAGAGTGTATATATGTTAGTTACCAAAACAAACATGAAGATATGTTCGATGAAAATGAGGTAAAACTGTTAGAGCTTTTTGTCAAATAAGCACTTGTGAAGCTACACTTCCTAAAAAGGTAAAGAGGACATTCTATTGGCTAAAGAACCACAGATATCGGCTGGGTTTGAGTAAAAACAATGAAAACACCAAATGTTAAATACCAGGGTGCCACTATAACATTCAAAAGTACTTTAAAACATGTGAGCTGTGACCTGGACATTTGATTTACATCACTTTTACCTCTCTTTATATGTTTCAGTTTTTTTTTTTTAAAGGAGTCTGTAAAATGTCTGTTTTTGGTTTAGAGTTAGAACTGTATTTGTCTCAACATTCAGAATATAGAGCGGGGCACGTACATATAATTTGCTGCTTATGTAACTTCTTCAATCCCTTATTCACTTCCTGATCTGAGAGTAGACAGTTGCCAAGCATCAATATGCTATGAAAGGTTTATTGCTGGTAAAGTCATTATCCCACTGTAAGGCACTATTTGGTGCTTTTATTAGAGCTAAATCAAGCTTTAGCTTAACACCCCACACACAATGAGTGACCAAGGTAACCAGTCAACAGCTGCAGATTATACCACTTTTTAAAAAAACATCAAGAACTAGGTCAGTGTTGACTCTTTCCAGACATCACGGTCGATATCAACCAACATATATCAAATTCATAGCAAACCCATAGCTAATATCAAGCCTCAGGTGCAGAACGATCAATTTCAATGAATGTGAAAAAAACAGAAATACAACACAATTGAAACCATCGGCATAACATTTCTGTCAAACTTTAAATGACAATAGTTCAGATGAACAATGACATGTGGTGTCCTGCTTTCTGATTCTTAGTTTGACATTTTTACAGGCTTTAATTTATCATTTTTGTTCCTCCTATCGGGAAGATAGTGTTAACATCTGCACTTGTTTCACATTGTGCTCGTGATGTAGCAATTTAATGCTGTGATTTTTAGAAGTAGGAACTGGCAGACTTACATCTGCCAGTCGAACTACTGAAGAGACTGAAACACGTTTTTTTTTCTCGACTTGTGAACTTCACCTCATTCTCAAAATAGTTTTCTTGTGTTTTGTTTGCAGATATGTTTAGTATGTTCATATTTTAGTTTGAGTCAGTGTATTCTTCTCACATAGAGAAATAGTCTATGCATTTGAAACAAAAAGCCATCAATTTATGGATTCTTGGGAGACCTTGAGAATACATCATTTATTATTGACTTTGATCTGTGTGGAAAACTGTTTTTTGATGGATGTTGTAAATGATTGTTTTATTTAAATGGTGTTTTTGTTGACTAAGAGTGGACTTGTATCACTCCGAAGTACTTCATATTTGTAGTAATAAGAGAAAATGAAAAAATAAAGAGTTTGAATAATTCCTTGACACACTTAAGGTCAGTGAGGAGTGACGCTCCAGCAGGGGGCGTTGTTGAGCGATGTTCAGTGAGCGGTTTTTTATGCAAGCCTGAACTTTGATGCAAACCTACAGCCTAAATGTGAGCTAGTTAATTTGTGACTACAGTATATAAACATGTTTCATAGTTAATTATGTTGGTATCAGAATCTCTATTTTCACCAGTTCCGCATTTTGTCTGACTGTTCGAATATGCAAATAAAGTTGGTCAATGTAGATTTATATTATAATAGTGCTGTTGTTATTATGTTTATTATTATGCTAATCTTTTACCATGTGCCCTCTTTTTTATCACGTTGTACTACTGACCATCACAACACAATCATCTGTTGTGCTTATAAATGTCAGTATATCCTGTCACAAACCTCATCAGAGTTTAACTTAGAAGTGACAAAATTCATGAACTAGTTTTTACTAATCTTTAAAGACAACCTTCCAGTGAATTGCAGCATATAAATGGAAATAATTACACTGACTGGAAAGTCTCATTACATTTTAGGAATTCAAATGTCTGAATTTGGAAATGTAAGTGATCAGTTTTATTGTTTTGGTTATTCTTCTGCTATGATTGGGTCATCTGCAATTAAATAATCATAATCATTCAAAAATATGCCTTTGCCGCAGTAAACAGCTTCTACCAGTAGATGGTAGGCAATGTCAACAAATAGAGGAGCGGCTTTGTTGAAAATCTGACCTCTCTTGATTTCTTTTACTGGCTTTAGGACTTCTTCACGGGACTGTAATTATTCCAATCTTTTTAAACACCAAACCTCTAACATGTTGCACTGAGATTCCCTCAATAAGCTGCCCCTGTGTACAGATTGGCACAAAAACACAAAGTGCAAATTATGGATGAGGCCTTTTTTTCTCCATCATTAGACAGTAAATTGCCTGCAGGCGGACTGAAACATTATCACACACATTGCATGTAAATCTTACATTTTGAAAGAAAGGCATTTGAGTGTATGTGTGTCTGTCAACATGTGCAGCTGACCATAACTGGTTTTAAAACCCAGAGGAAAACATTTCTTCTGTGAAAAATGTTGTACTTGCAGCAACTGTTGTCTGGTACATCGACGAGGCATGAGTTTCTGTGTGGCTGAGCGCATGTGTGTCTGTATGTCCTTGTCACAATGTGTTTGTCAGTGGGTTGTGTTATATCTCGGTGCAGTGACAGCATCAGTTAGCTGCCTGAGAGACATCAGAGATCATGTTCTCAGCGCCAAAAGCAGGAGGGCTCAGAGTCGGTGCCGGCCACAGGCTCTGAGAGTGGATCCTGTCAGGAGGCTGGGAGCAGGACGAGAGCAGTGGCATATGTTCTCTGACAGAAAAACGCCTGACTGTTCTTCAGCAGAGAGCAGAGACTGACTGGTGGCCAATTGGAGTGACAGCTGTCAGGACAGACTGTGTGTGTGTGTGTGTGTGTGTGTGTGTGTGTGTGTGTGTGTGTGGTGTGTGTGTGTGTGTGTCCTGCTGCTGTGTCTTAATGTACTACTGTGAGAGTCAGTCTGAGCTTTAGACATTGCAATTGAAGACATCATGTAAAGTGACTTTATTTTGGGATATGGTCTTCACTTTTTTAACAGGGTGGTTTAAAGTTAGAATAAAGGTTCAGAACATAAATCAGAAATATAGGTCTGACTTCGTTAGACTGAATCCCATCAATTTGACAAACATTTAAAATAAAACAAATTGAAAGAAATGTAGCATTCTCCAAAAGACTTGGGGTTTCAAAAATAAAATTTTAATTAATATAAATTGTAATGTCCTTGGATGTGAATAGTTTGATTAAATTGAGTTTGGCATGTGGCTTTCAAAAGTTGCATTTTTATAATATGATGAACAGGTAGGACAAACCTCCTTTCATTTGATATGAATATTTTTTCAAAATGTTGAGTTTTTTTTTTTAAATTAAAAACTGACTCCAAATCAATGCAGCATCCTATCATAACACTTGAAAAGTAGAATAGACCTCTGTTTTTTGTCTTGAGTGATTTTCATAATTTGATATGATTATTTTATTAATCATTTGGCTTTTTGCCATTTATTTTCAAAAGCTTCAATGTCATGTGCATAAGTGACTCCAAATCAATGTGACATTGTAATACTACACTGGACAAGTATGACACATTTTTGTGTTTTTACATTATTTTTTATAATAAATCTGTTTATTTATTCAGTTTATGTTTGAGTCTTGATGTTACCTTACTCATAAAAGAATGAACCCAGTCTTTAGTAGTGCATGTTGTTAATTCTCCATGTTTAAGTATATTTTGCAGTCTCAGTTTTTGATGCTGATGTCCCACTGCGACAGTAATGACTAGACAGCAGGCTGAAATACTGAGAGCCGCCTCTGACAGGTGGACTCTGTGATAAGGAGATTTCCCAGCAGTCACAGTAGGTGACAGGTAATGTTGTTTGTCGATTGTTAGAGCATGCCATAGAAATTGCCATGGTCAAAGATGTGGTTCTTAACTAAACCAGTGTATTGTATAACATTCTACAGGATCCTTTTAATACAATCAACAACTAAATATGAAATCATTCACTTTTTTGAAGACATATTTAAGAAAATGTCATGTCAGGAACTATAAGATGAATAAGAGATGTTTATTTTCACATTACGTTTTGTATTAAAAATGCTTTTAAAGTTTCCATTGTCTTCAAGGAGTGTATCCTCAATTCAAGACATTAAAGATGGTAGAAAAAGAAGTTTGAGGAGCATGGTTATGAAGCTGCTTTAAGAGCTGTAAAGATGAAGTGTGACAGTCCAGGTGGAGAAGGACACGCAGGAAGAAGAAGGCATATCCATCAGATTAACACACAGTAATGTCTTCCTGGTCTGGCTTCCAGCATCAGTGATTTATCAATGCAAAGCTAATAGCATCAATATGAATCTAACTAAAAATCAATATTTCATTACCTAATTGTTAGTGGGAATGAAGAAAGATGATTGTACGAGACAGCGTTTGAGAGCATCTGGAGTTCACAGAGACATCTGGAGGACAAACTCCAGCAGTAACCGCACTCTCAGTTGCAACGCACTTTTAAAGAAGACGGGAAAAATCAATGGACAGAGCTTTAAGATGTTAACACACTCACAACAAACAGACAAAATCCAATGATTTGTTGCATAATGCTACTGCAAGGTTAAAACCATGCTACAACCTTACATTTCATCAAATAGATCTCTCTCTCTCTCTCTCTCTCTCACACACACACACACACACACACACGATCCATTACAAATACTGATTGTTCAAATAGGGCTCATCAAGGCAGACAGTCATCCCAGACATCCATTACTTACATATTGTGAAATAGAGTCTGTTGGCAAAAGTCAATATCATGTAATCTGGAGACAAAGATGCATCAAATAAATTCAAGTTTCATCCTCTGAGCCTCTTTGAAAGTTAAATTGATAATCACACCTTTACTTCCCTAAAACGAAAAAGAAAGTTGTTTTGTCTCGTAATAGTTAACATCTGACCTAATGACACTCTGTACTTATTTCATAGATTATTACATTTTGCAATTATTTTTAAAGTATTTTGTCATGCATAATATGCCTTTTTTTCCTCCTTTTTTAAAATCATATTAAACTGGATTTTGTTTTGGAAAGACAAAACAGAACATTTAAACACATCAACTTCAAGAAACTAAGAGGGAAACTATTTGAAAAAAATGTATAGACTAAACAATACATTGGTTAATTGAGACAATAATCGGCAGGTTATATATCGGCATCATTTCTTTCCAATGATGGAAAGAAATCGTCAATTCTAGCGCTACTCAGGATACAAGGTGAACTCGATTCAGTGAAATACAAAACAAGTTTGATCGAGAACCAGCTGCACTGTGGCGCTCTAATGGCGCTTTTCCACTGCAGCACGTAGCACGGTTTTTTGCTTTACCACTCGGGGTAGTTCCGGCTTAGGGCTACTTTTTCACCTTTATTCTGGCCCTCAAAAATCGAGGTTCTTACCAGGCCAACAACCGGGCTGAATATGCTAAACTAGTGACGTAAACACTCTCGACTGCTGAATGGTCGAATGGTCAGAGAGAATCGATGGCAAGGGGGCTACAACTACAACAAAATGAACATATTTTACCATGATTTAATTATAATACACGTTTCAAAATGATGCCGAAGTAACAACATACTGATACCGGTCTGCAGACAAGACGGCAGGCGAAAAAACTTTTAAAATGCGTGTTTTCTGAATGGAGATCGGATCGATCAGGCTAAGCTAACGCTGTATATGCTCCGTCCACACACAACAACGGCCTATACAGACATAAATAAACCAGTGACTGTATTCGCCATGAAACAGACAGTCTGTGGTTTGTACTTGTTTAACTTTTGTCTAGTTTCTGACCAGATATGAGGAGCTGTTAGCTCTGAGGGCTAACAACTAACGGCTGATGTTGGTTTAGTGGTTCGCATTGAAGATGACGTCACAGCAGTTTTACGCAGCGTCGCTCCGCCTGCGGAACAGCCGATCGCCCCGCCTACACTGCGTTACTATAGTTACTACGCCTGTTACTAAACTGTAATGAAAACGCAGCATAAAGTGAGCCTGGCCTACCAAGTCCTAACCATACCGTACTAAGGCGTGTATCATTTCGTATAATTATACATTTCACTCATGTTACTGTAATGTGTATTTTCAGACATTTTGGAAGAATAAACCTTCAAAATATTATCAAACAAGCTTCTGGCAGCCCCCCTGCAGTAACCCTGAGGATCCCCCAGGGGTCACGGACCCCTTGTCACAGACCCACCTCTATACTTATACAGGACTGTCTCAGAAAATTAGAATATTGTGATAAAGTTCTTTATTTTCTGTAATGCAATTAAATTGCATTACAGAAAATAAAGAACTTTATCACAATATTCTAATTTTCTGAGACAGTCCTGTATAAGTATAGAGGTGGGTCTGTGACAAGGGGTCCGTGNTAGAATATTGTGATAAAGTTCTTTATTTTCTGTAATGCAATTAAAAAAACAAAAATGTCATACATTCTGGATTCATTACAAATCAACTGAAATATTGCAAGCCTTTTATTATTTTAATATTGCTGATTATGGCATACAGCTTAAAAAAACTCAAATATCCTATCTCTAAATATTAGAATATCATGAAAAAGTATACTAGTAGGGTGTTCAA